AACAATAGCAAGTTAAGAACCCACGTGCACCAGGCAAATAATCAGTAACCTAAGTAAATGAATATAGTTTGTCTTTGCTAACGGGAAGACAACTGACGAAAGAGAAATCAAAATAAAGAGGTTTAACATCAGTAAAATAAATCATGGATATGAAAGAGGTTGGACGGAATAATGTAGTAACCGTCAGGCAAAGGGAATCAGAAATGTTCATAAATGAAAGTTATTTGTTGCAGAAGCTGTTGTTTCATTTTGTTTTACTAATTAAGAGTTAACCGAAAGAGAGAAGGCATCGTGATACATAGATAAAAATGATTTTTTTGGGGGGGGATCTTAAACGTTTTTGAAGGGAAAAGTGGGGGATAGCAAAATTTCTAAAAGCAGGAAGGGGGGATGCCAATTTTTTTTAGATGCCATAAAACATTACGTATTTATAAAACCACTGCACAAGACTTACGGGTAAGTTCCTTGTTTTCTAGTTCAATGAAGGAAGTTTTTACTATTAATACACATTATCATTGCAACCTTTACTTTTATCCTGCTTTTATTAATAACGTCACTGATTGTTTTCGTTATAATTCTCACCATCATCATACGTTATCATCACGGAATGATATACTTGACTACAGGTCGAGCACGGTTCTATATCCAAAAGTGATCATATTCAAATTCCCATCAACTTGGCGGCAAATCTTTAGGAAGCTTCTTTGATTTACACAAAGGATGGAATTTCTTATTGTCATTAAAAAGGATATCGAACGAAGATGTCGGTAGAAAGCAACCTTCTAATCTGTGAAGCCACAATCGGTAGCTGGTTGAGAATATGCTTAGCCTACCATACATAGCCTTCAAGGACCTTCAGTACGGAACCTGACGCTTTCCGTGGAGAAGGCAAAGTGGCACTGATCTCAAATTATATTTTTCTTACGTAAAAACTCATTATCATAGTCCTTATCATTCCCTAGTAAAAGGAAAACAAACTTGAACCAAGGTAATTTTGATCCAATGCATAGCAATTTTTTCCTTTTTTTTCCTCTTGGTGATGCAAAGCAATGCTTTAAAAGTAATCAATTAAATTAACTTCCATCTCCTTTGTATTTCACTGAACGTAAAGTATGTGGACGTTTCGCGGAGGAAGGCTGAGCAGCAATTCCCTTTTCTCTTTGTGGTTAACTGATCAGGCCATTCAATACCTTTTAGCACCTGTTGTATAACTTTTCATCTGCCTTTTTTGTTGGCTTTTTTTTGCTTGTTTCTTTTCACTTGCGCTTGTTCTTTGCTAGTCTAGGTCCCAAATTTAACCTGTCTAGGGATGATTGCATTTTATTATTGAATCTACGCTGCCACATGGCCCTGGTTTGCTATTTCCCAGCGAGGCACAGCTAGCTTTAATCTCTTACAACTTTCTAGCTTTATTACACTTATTACACTTGAAATACTAAAATCTGTGAAACGCTGGTATAACCTTTAGTTTTCTATTTGAAGCCATTTTATTATATTGCCCGTATTTCACTTCGCTCATCAAGACTAGGTGGGGGGGGGGGGGGGGG